TTTGTTTTTTCTGTAAATCATTTCATTTTCAAGGCAATAAATCAGAAGAAAAATCATTAAAAACCGATTTCAAAAAGGTCTATTAGTTTTTTTAGGAAATGGAAAGAGAAAAAACGGTTTAAAATTCTTTACTAATTTTGCTGTTTATTTTCGACAATATCCAGCCTCCCTCGTGTTTAAAATCGGTAAGTATTGACGGATTAAGGTAGTTTATACCGTTTTAACACGTGCATGTGAGTTAAAAAATTTAAAATACATTTTGCAGAATATAAATCTTTTTTATAAAATTTCATAAACTTTGATAAACATATACAGTATTCTAAAAGATAAATCACATTTATGTGATTATACAAAATTTTTATTACCCTCTTAATATATATAAAGTGACTCGCAAAAAGCCTGCTTTTTTGAAAAACTTTTTCTTGGTAATTTTTTCAGAAAATGTTATTCCTGATAACTTGGTGTTTATTTAAACCTAAAACTTAATTTATTTTAAAAATTCTGTACTATAAATATAAATTTGGCTGCGCAGTGAACTAGGAACCCTTCTAGGAATCCACATTTTTACATATAAAATTAATTTTAAAAGATGTATACAAGCCCATATAGTAGTTTTTAGTTAACACAATTATTATACTTTATTACATCCTTTTTTACGTAGATTAAAAAAGTTTAATAATTTGGTGCTATGTTGATAAGTCGTTTTATGATTTCACTTTGTTTAGGTACAGTAATTGTTGTTGATACTGGCCGTTTATTTTAAATCATTAAAATAATATTTTGTTAATCCAAAAAAAGCCAACAAAAAAGCCGTGCCACATACAGTGTAATAATAAAAATTAGATATACAAGGTGTTCCTAAATATCATGTCATAATTAAAGGAGGTAATTCCTTAGCTCATATTAAAGTTTATATAAACATGTCCTAAATTGCTTTGTTTCGAAAATACAGGATGTCCAAATTTTCAAAAATAATCAGTTTTTTATTAATATCATAAAAATACTCTTTTGTCGATTTTGATGAAATTTGGTACATTTGTTTGTTTGTTTGAGTAAGAGATTATTTAGAATTGATTAGATCGAAATGATTAATTCCAGTGCAATACCCAAAGTCAACCTTATTGATATTTTTGACAAAAAAAAAGCTCTCCACTGTGTTTTTCCATATTGGAATTAATAATTCTTACTACAAGAAATAAATCTGCCAAGTCTCATCAAAATCGGTCGAAAAGTGTTTATGATATGAATGAAAAATTTATTTTTATAACTTTGAACACCCTTTATCTTTGAAACAAAGCAATTTAGGACACATGTATATATAACATTTTAGTCATAAATTGTACCTCCTTTAATTATGACATTATATTTAGATACTCCCTATACCGGGTGTTCAAATTAAAGTGTTACAGTTAAATACCGCCGAAAATATGCATTTTAGAAAAAAGAGTTTCAGACAAAAGTTTTATAGTTTTTTGGGGGAAACATTTTGGCTAAATTCATTTTTTTATAGCTGACCATAATATGGCTATATCGAGGTGAACTTTGTTTTTTAAATGGGAATCCCATTTTATTCTTACATATTCTTAAAGTACATAAAAAAATAAGAAACTATTGAGGGAAATATTTTTTTTATCGGACTTTTACTTTTTGAGTAACAGCTACTTGAAAATGTTGCTGCGCGAAAAAAAGTTGGCCATATTATGGTTAGCTATAAAAAACGATTTTAGCCAAAAGTTTTTCCCTACAAAACTATAAAGCTTTCGTCTGAAACGTTTTTTTTTTTTTATAAAAAGTGGTAAATAGCTGTAACGCTTTAAAGAACACCCGGTATAAATATTATGTACCAACGGACTTAATTTTCACTTTTGATCTTTCCTTTTTTGTCGTAAAAGACTTTCTTAAATTTCTACCAGTGACGTCCGTACGGGGTTTGAACTGAATATTTTTAAAGAAAAATGGTTCGCTACTGCTTTTTCTAAAAACCAAAATTATTTTTGAAATCCTTTTGTTTTCGAGCAAATTTGGTTTTTAGACATACTTTCGTACAAAACACCCTTTTTACGTAAAAAAACAAAAACCAATAAATTTTTTTAAAGTTTATTTAAACTGCTTTTGATATTTTTTTGAAATTTGGTAGAAATCTACAATGAGTGGAAACACTTTTTTTTGGGCAAAATTTCATTTTATTTAGTTTTGTAGTTGTAATTTTTATAATGTATATTTTCCTTTTAATCTACGATTATACCAACAAAATTGTTTAGATTATTCATAGTTCAAGCTTAAACTCTCATTAAAGTAATTTTATTCAAAATTCGCTACATTAAGAAATGCGATAGATTATCTACGACGTGGCGTTAGCGATTTTAATTCGATAAGAAACCTCGAGAGTATGAAAGATGATTATCCGCCAGTTTCTCTCAACTCGAAACATTCTAAAATCATACCTCATACTCTCATACATACACTCCATCCATCTATCCATTAGTTTCCGGAACTCGTTAGCACAAGTCATTGTTTACGACGGTTCGCATTCGTCGAGAGGTAGAGCGACGTGAAGGCGGAAGAGACTCCGAAGAGTATAGAGCATAGAGAAAACCCGGACGAATATAGCCCGGCTATGAGCTGTCACATCTTCTGTCAGATGTAAGTTCGCGGTAGAATGGGGCTCATTAATTCAGACGTCTCCTTCGTCTTACAGTTATTAACGACAGCCAATGAGAGAGTACTGTCTATTTACGACGCTCCTTTGTTTCGCATCCTCGATGCTCCGGCTGTCTTATGCCGCGGCAGGCGTCTCGGCTACCTACTTCAGTTGCCACCCTCGGCTTTACCTCGGCCGTACGTACACATTTTTGTGAAGGGTTACGTAGGAATTATATTATTTAGTTCAAATTTTATTTGTATTGATCTGGTAAATTTAATGACAAGTTCTGTCCAAGCCAGTTGATAGCAAGCCGTAGCAAGGTTCTCTCTTAGGATGGCTTTTTGAACTTCTTTCCTTGACAGAATAATGGTTCCTGTCTCTTCGTTGATGTCAGTGATCGTCATTATTTAAAATGTGGTATGCTCCAAGGTTTTTTTTTTGGAGGCTGTGTTATTTTTTATATTAGTATGTGAATAACAGTGCTGAATTAACATCATATACAAAAAACTTGATGATTTTTATCGCTTTTTTTTCTGGAAACATGTCACATTGGTCTGTATGACAAGAAATTGGTACAATTTCCGATGCACCTGCTTAATCAGATCTTTTTTGACCAATAAGTTTACCCTTCTAAGCTAATAATAGCCCTAGAATTGTATAAAAAAACTTCTTCAACTGAGAAGGTCAAGAGTTTGCTACATTTCTTGATCTTTCTCTTTATCATAAGCTACCTACTGTATAGTTTTCAGCTCTTGATAATGATGATGAAGATGTCTCACAATCGTCTCGCCCTGCAAAGGTTCAACTACTGTCAAATGCTTTTCAGGGTACCAAAATATACCACTGTATTTTAAGCTAAAATAAGTACAATTGAATTGTTTGTAAAAGTCAGAGCTGGTGTGGAACTGCTTTTGAATACTTTATGATCTGGCAACCCAGAGTAAAGTAATACTACCTTGGGTACTAGGTCCTAAAGGTTTAAGAAAATGAAGAGGCTGATGAACTCACCATAGAGGAATCAAACTATGATTTAGAGGACGGGAATTTGTAAATCAGAACCTCTGCTCAGTTCTTTAGTGTCAGTTCTTTCAAATACTCCAGTGTTATTAACGTTACTTTTAACCAACCAATGACATCAATTTGGCAACGTGAGATACAGGTATTGATGAAGAATTGTTATTATCTTAATATAAAAAAAGTTCCACTAAATGTTTTACTAAAATAATTTTTTTCGTTTAAATTTTTTCTTTATTTTGCTTTAACTTAATTTTCATCAAGACTTCTATTTCTCTGAACTTTCTTAAGGCATTCTTAAATATTTGATTTAGGCTAATTAGAACCCTTTTCAAATTCTCTGAGGATACGGTCTTGATGCATCCCAGTTCTTGGGATCGTCTATCTCACGGGAAAACTTGAAAATGTCGACTCTAATGTCGTGGTTGATGGGAAATGTGTGTTTTGAGGCGAGGGGGTGGCTGTGAAGAAGCACGTTCTCCTTTGTCTTTCACGAATTTTCCATTATCCTTTGAGATGTTATTCCTCTTGCCGAGCAACCGGGTAATTTAAATACCTCTTTCGCTTCCTTGATAAGTCAGTATTGTCTCATGAACTCCATGAGTGAAAATAAGAAATTACTGGAGCCTCCTTTCTATAGGGCATCAGAAATTACATTTGTGACAAAGAAAAAAATTTCTTAAGCTCACTTTTTAACACTTTTCTCCACGTTATCGATCGTTTTGTCCAAAAAAATTCAAAAAGTCCTATATAAATGATAAAGGGCCAAATACTTTTACTTGGACAGACTTAACGAGTAAAGGCTACAAATATTTTTAGATGTACAGGACTTGAGGGGTAATGGGTTCAAATATTTTTGTATGGACCTAATTAAAGAGTAAATGACTCTAATAGTTCTACTTGTAGGTACAGTTATAAATGGTAAAGGAACTAAATATTTAAAAAAGTTAATAGTTTATTATTAAACAGTTTTTCTTTTTAAACCCTCTCAATTTTCAGTTGCTAATAACTGTCTTCAGTTTCAATGCTAAAGAGGTCATTTATATAAAAATTAAACAATAGAGGACCCAAAACGGTGCCTTGTGGTATTCCGTAATTGAATATTTTTAAACTTTCATAATTTGTTTTCTTATAGTTAGGGTTCTACTCATCAAATAACGCTCCCATGATCATTGATAGATTTTTCGACAATGTCTGCTTGCTAGGTACATACATACTCTATTATTTCATACGAAATCTACAATTCAATATAAGGAACTAGGAAGTTCAAATGGAATAGAATTAAAACGAGATTAAATTTTTAAACAAATTTATTAATATTTTTTTGTATTTTTTTTTTTTTGAAAATTTAAATCTAAAATCTGCCTTTTATTCATTGAATAAAAGACCGTAGGTACCTTGAGCAATAGCGACATCAGCCTGTTGCCAGAATCTGTGGTAAGTGAAAGTTGGAGCTGGTCCACCGTTCAAATGAGCTTCAACCTTCGGCCATTCAGGATCTTTCTTGTACCAAGACCTCAAACCAATGAAAGTAACTCCGTGTTGAATAACGTCACCGTTGGGGTAGCTACCCATCCATCCTTGTGGTACGTATACTTCGTTGTTGAATTGGCTGTAAGTGTCCATGACTTCAGGCGCTGATACTCCCTTGTCTGTTTGGTATTTGTTCCAGATCGTGTCCAATAATTGTTTAGCAACGTTCTTAGCGTTTTGGTCACCTGATTTAGCTGCGTAGTAAGTGAGGGTTCTGGCAGTAGCCGAACCGGTACCAACGTCGCTGCTGTATTTGGTAACTTTAGCGTTAACATTTGGTGGGTTTCCTGACCATTCGATCCATTCTGGATGAGTGAAATCGCCGTTCTCAAATTTAATTTCTCCAATGATCCATTTGACCCATTTGTCCAAAACGGATTTTGCTTTCTCATCACCGGTAGCGTAGTAGTATTGAGCGAGACGATCAGTAGACCAAGATTGCATACCGTACCATCTGTTGGATGGTGGGTCATGGTAAACGGGTTCCCAATCGTAGAACATACCGTGGAAGGTATTTTGAGTAAGTTCCGCCGGTGGGGTATCGTATCTACCGTTCCAGGTGTTAGTAGCACCGCCACCGAAAGCACCTTGATTAGATTGCAACCAACCGTAGAATTCAAGTTGTCTGTCCAAAGAAATAGCCCAATCGGAAGCTGCTGATGGTGATTTTGGTTTCAAAGCATCGATATGTGATAGAGCGTAAGCCGTAAGAGGATTTTGATAACCGAAATGAGCAGCACCATCTCCGATACGCCAGGCCCAGTTGTTGTAGATGGAACCTCCCCAAGCGAAGTACCAGGACATCAGGTAGTGAGCGCTGTCTTTTCCTTGACCTCCGGGACAATTCCAGATGCCGACGCAGTTGCCGATTTTCTTGAAGTATTTGTCGAAGAGTGAGTATCTCAAGTAGTCTCCTAGTTTGGCGGCCTTTTCTAATGTGCCTTGGATCTGAAAATAATTAATTTATATAATACTAGAAAATAGAATTTAAATATTTCTAACAACCATCTTGGAGTTAAGAATAAATTGTATTTGCAATCAAAAAGCATGATATAAAAATGGGCTAGGAGCTGCAATTGGAGTGTGGACTTAGAACCTAATACTATAAAAGATTTGATAAATGTTCAAGCATCTTCGCGTTAGAAATTTATGTCATTGAGAAGTGTATTATCAGGTCCAATAATGAAGCAACTATTAAAGCTTTAAACTCTTACGTAATCAGTATAAAAATGATCTGGAAATGCCTAAAAAAACTGAGTAAGGCAAGATATAGGACAATAGAAGAACTGACAATTAGAATGCTATATTGGAATAAAGACAGGCTGAGGTACTAAGATAGTTCTGGGTGACTTAAACCAGCAAAAATAGGAAGCCTGAATCTGTTAGAGCAAGATCCAAGCTGCGCATAGTAATAAGGAAGAAAGGATTGGTCTTGATAAGCACCCTTGTGGACTCAGCGACAGAAGAGAACCCAATAGATCTGTTAAGTCAGAACTCTTCGTACATAACAAGTCCACATATTACATGCTTACTATATGTAGGTCATCATCAAGAGATACTTATTGCGCAAAATACAAAAATTTGATGTAACGAAAAATTTGCTTTGAACTTACGGATGAGACTTGTTGGGTTTCAGTGGCCCACATGTAGGCCCAGTAAGCGGCTTGTACGGCTCTGGCATCTGCATCAGGGGCGTTGGAGTATTTCCATTGTTGAGCATAAGAGTTGTCTCCTACGAACAGATCCAAAAATCCGTGCATACCACCGAATTTGAAAAGATCGCAAGTTGATTGTGGGATGGTTCTCCAGACGGATTCCATTGGTCCACGTTGGTAGGTGTTAATGAATGAGGGTTGGTTGGTGTTTGGTCCAAGTTCACAGCCACCGCCTGCAAGTGTATTTTTATGTCAGTTTAATTAAACCAGTGTTTCTCAAAGTGTACTCCGCGGAGCCTTGCAAAGATTTTGTGGGGCTCCGCGAAGAAAATAATAATCATAAAAAAAGTAAAGCACTACTACTGCTACAAAAAAAAGACCTGGCTTGAGGACTTCCTTAAGAGAAAGGATATGATTTTTCTTAAGGACCTTTTTCAAAATAATGTGTTTGGGTCTTCGTCAAATATTCTTTTCAAAAAGGTTCCGCCCCCAAAAAAGTTTGAGAAACACTGCATTAAACTAAGTAAATATAACATCTTACCGGGTGTGTTACCGAATCCGTATACGTTGTCAACGTCCAACAACCAATTCATGGCGTACATATCAGCATTTCCATAAGCGCTGACCAATTCTTGGTAGAGAGGATCGGAACCTACTGGTACACCAAATTGCATTGGGGATGGGTATTGGCTAGGGTCGTCAAGTTCGGGTGAGAAGGTAGCTGGGGCGCCTGGGTTGTAGAAGTTGTTGGTGCTCTGGTCACCGTGCGATGGGATAATCCACCTTTCCATGTTCTCCCATGCAGCGTTGAATTTCGAGAAATCATTGTTGACACGACCGTACAAGGCTTCCAACCTGAAATAAGAAGACTAAGAATTAGATTTCTGTTATTTAGGGTTCCATTTTTCCATTAGTGGTTGTGTGTGTATGAGAGAGAAATAATGATATTAGACTTAAAATCAGGAATATCTATAAGAAAATTTAATAAATGTTTGGCAAAAGCACCATTAATGGTTGGAGTAGAGGATTTAATCTTGTGAAGTACTTACCAGATCCAGTAACTGTAAGCTTCAGATGTGGTTTGATGACCGTGGTCTGGAGCTTCGACAATCAAAGTTTCGACGGAATGGTAGGGGATGCCTTCTTTCGAGAAGTATCCGTGGGCAGGGTCGTGTATTTTGTTGTATTGTGTTAAAAAACGTGCAGTGTAGGTGTTTTCGGCAGTGCTTAGCTGTAGGCCTAAGCAGGCCACTAAGAGGATAATGAGGTACTTCATCTTTCCTAAAATTAAAAAATATAAATGATGAGATACTATATTTAAAAATATTGTTGTATATAAAGTGTTTTTTATTATTATAATTTTACGTAGCTATAAATGAAAAAATGTTTTTTTTTTGTAAAATATATAAAAAATTCTAAGATAATTATTAAAATAATAGGTCAGGTTTTATATATACAGAGTATTCCATAACTTTCGATTAATTTTTTATTTTTAAAATTAAAAAAATTCTAATTCAAAAACTTTTGTAAAAGTCAAGCTCTATAAGTGGACGAAGCATGTTGATTTAAAAAAAAATCTGAATAGAAATGAGGGGTTGGAGGGTTGAACAAAAAAATAATAAAAAACAAAAAGTGATATCATTATGAAAATTTTAGAAAAAATTAAGCTATATAAAGTGAAGAAGCCTAATAATTTTTAAAATATCTGAAGGGGGGGTTGAAATAATAAAAAAACCTAACTCAAAAACGAAAAATGATATCAACTTAGAATTGTTAGCAAAAAATCAACCTTTATAAGGAAACAAAGCCTATTAATTTTGAAAAAATCTGATTAAAAATAGGGGGTTAAAAAGGTTTGAAATTAAAAAAAACATATATAAATCAAAAACGGAAAGCGATATCAACATGAAATTTTGAGTAAAAATCAAACTGTATAAGGATATGAAGCCTATTAATTCTGAAAAAATTCTGAACAAAAATGTGGGGGGTTAAGGAACGTTAAAATATTTTAAAAAATCCTGACTCTAAAATGAAAAATAATGTTTACTCAAAATTAAGGAATCAAAGCTTATGGTTTTGAAAAAATCTGATAAAATGGGGGGTTAAGGGGGGAGAAATACTGAAAAAAAAATCCAACTCATCAATCAAGTTTGTAAGGCCTATTGATTCTGAAAAAATCTTATTAAAAATGGGGGTTAGTGAGATCTGTTAAACTGTAAAGATTATAATATAGAATGCCAAGCATTATATATCTTTTTTTTTTAGTTTTATTTTGTAAAGAGTTCTTTTAAAATGTGGTTAGGATAGAACAAAGCAGAAATTATAATATAAATAATAATTTGTAACGAGTTTTAATAATGTTTTTTCATTAGTAAAGTACCCTTTATATTTAATTTTCCATTATGTATTTGAATTAAAAAAATTAAGGAGGTACCTAATTCTCTAAAGCTGTTAATGTAAAAGTAAAATTGTTAGCACAATAATTGAAAAGTAATATCCTTAAATAAATAATAAGATTACAATGAATTTTTCTGTAAATTATGCTTCACACTGTGTTTTTTAATAATTGAGAGATATGTCAAAAAAAAAAAAAATGAGATTTGGAGTTCTAGCTCTTGCTAGGTTAAAAATGAAGGGACTGAACTGGAAATAATCAGAAAGTTCTCTTCTGAAACCAGAATTAAGTATTTTTTTGTATAAGTATCCTAATTAATTTTACCAATAAAAAATTATTTTTTTTCTAATTAATTAAAATTCAAATAAATAAAATCAAACTTTTATTGAATTATATAATATTCAGAAAACAGAGAAGCTTATAATATTATTAGTAGTGCTTACCTTGGTACCACAAAAACTTTACCTCGATATTTTTTTGATCCTTTTTATATATAATAATCTATCCATACTTCAATGTCAAATAATTTTAGATTAGGATTTAAATGAGTAGTTCAAGAGGTATTGTTTGAAAATATTTTAATCAATCCAACTTAAATTCTGATAACATTTATCTTAATAACTTAAAAGTACGCGAAAACACTTAGGCACACTTCAGCATGTTTTTTAAAAAAAGTTGATTGAACTGCAGCTCGTTTTTATTTTTATATTTTTAGTAGTTGACGTAAAAGTAAATTATTATTGTCAATATTTGGTACGTAGTACTAAAGTTCAATTGATTTTTATCTATTTTTTGTAGTATTAAGGTAATTAATTTTGTTCTGGTTCTTTTGAGTTGTTTCTACTAAAGATAAAGCTATACGTACATACATTTTTGTAAAAAATAGACATATACTTCTACGTTTAAAGTAAACAAAAGAAAAATCATCTACATTTTTGGATATAAATATTAATAATTTTAAAGATTTGGAGGTTGTTGTAATCTAAATTCGAGAAACGCTAAATTGGTTGTTGTCACCGTATCGAGATGAGAAACGATTTATTTTGAACGAAAAACCAAACTATTTGCAGTTATATTTTATTTGCAAATATTTGCTTATAGAATTTTCGTTAAAATAAATTGTAATTGGTTAGTTTCAATTTATTTGAATTATATGTTAAGAAGTTGTGAAACATTGATATACAAGTGTATAAAGGTGTCATGTCACAAAAAGATTATTTCGAGAAAAACAAGCTTAAAGTTTTAAAATTGCATTATGATGTATGGCTCATGATACCTTCCTATCTGATAAATAGCCGTTACTTATTAAAATTGGAAACAACAACTATCACAAACCAAAAATATAGTACATTTTAAGTACAATGGGCCATAAAAATCATTTTTTAAAAAATTGAGACATGACAACTTCATCAATTTGTGTCTTCAATTACTAGATTGATCGACTTAAATGGCGTGCTGTTTTGGTATTTAATAACATCGTTTAAAAAGCAAGAAAATAAATAATCTTCTCTTCCAAAATTTCAATTCCGTAATTATTCTGTTAAAGAATTAAAATTTCCGATTTAAAATTATGAAATACATAATAGAAATTCATAATTGTAGGTAACCGTTAATATATAATGGAAATTGAATTTCTATTATGTATTTTCTTAATTTTTATTCTTGAATTTTATTTATGTATTTCATAATTTTAATTCTTGAATTAAAAATAAGCTCACGGAGTATAACAAAGAAGTACGCAAGGCTAAAAGAAACTCATGGAGGAAGTTCTGCGAAGAGGTCTCAGAGACCACTTCCAGTGCCAGAATCCATAGAGTTATAGGCAAAGACAGTACATCTAGTCAAGTGGGATTCCTCAAAAAAGAGGATGATACCTACACCACGCACTAGAGAAAAGTCTAGAGATAATAACTCAGGTGCACTTTTTGACCTCAACTATCCTAACAGGACTAGATTCAGGAGACCAAGAGAGCTACATTCATAAGGGGATCAGACCAATTCCAATAGATCTGGCCTGCCTTCGAGATCACAAGACTACACAGGATTAGTTGCGCTATCAACAAATTCAAGGCACACAAATCCCGGGGCCGGATGAATTCAATTTTGCTCCAGAAGGGTAAGGATATGTTAATGCCACATTTATACAAAATCTTCAGAGCATGCATTGCCTGGAGAAATATCCCAGCAATAAGGCAAAAGGCGGAAGTAGTCTACCTGGCCAAGGTAGGCAGGGTCACAGACCAAACGCCAAAATCATATCGTCCCATAAGCCTATCCTCCTTCCTACTTAAAACTCTAGAAAGATTAATAGATAGGTATATCAGGGATAAGATACTAAAAATAAATCCGCTTCATCCCAACCAATTTGCATGCCAGCCAGAAAAGGCAACGGACTTAGCGCTGGACGATTTAAAGAGGCTGCTTTCAAAGTCAATAGATGACAAATAAATCGCAATAGCCACTTTCTTAGATATCGAAGGAGCTTTCAACAGTGCCTTAACCAGGTCAATAACCAAGGTTCTAGAACAGAGAATTACCGTCAGAGGGCAATTTGCAGGCACATTTTCGGAACGATTTCAAACAGTTTTAAATACAGTTAACAACTGGTGCAAAAAGGATTAACGCACAAAAAACAGCAGTTGTACCATTCACAAGAAAACAGGTACTTACAGGAGTAAGACCACTAGTAGTAAACAACACAGTTATCCCATTCGTTACAAAAGCCAAATACCTCGGAGTCTTATTTGACCAAAGACTGACGTGGAATCAACATCTCAAAAAACTCACACACAAAGCTACAATAGCTCTCGTAAGTTTTAAAAGAATATGTGCGAAAAACTGGGATCTAAACCCCAAAATGACCATATGGTTATACACAAGGGTGATAAGACCTTCAGCGGCTTGCCTGTCTAAGTGCTAGTGGGGCCATGCGCACTACGCCGACCACAGCAATGGAGGTATTATTAAATCTCACGCCACTGCACATCTTCATACAAGTAGAAACCAGGTCAGCTATTCCCAGGCTAATGCAAGGACAAAACCCAATAAGCCAACTACATAGCGCGGACCACAGAAAGCTATATCAGCAAGTAAAAAGGGATAATATTTTAGACATGCCATAACCATGTACAAATTTGAAAGAAATTTTGAAATTCAAATACCAGCCCGAGAATCCTGAAAACAGGAAGCTCCTGTATAGGCTGAACTCGTCTGGTATACAGACGGTTAAAAAACTAAGGAAGGAGAATCTGGTGATAGTTTGGTCAACAGTGTCCATCTGAAGATCTCGATATAGGTCGCTGTTTCTAATGTACCTATCAAGGAGCATCTATAATGTTCCTCAATACTTTGTTTTGGAGTCTCTGGATTATTGGAATATTACTGTAGCTGGCACAACCTCAGAGCTGAATGCCATAGGTCCAAATTGGTTTCAGAACTTGTTTAAATAAAAAAAAAATGTTATGTGTAAATAGGCTAAAATGACTATCAAGTAACTCGTACCATTTTCTTGTATATTATATCTACTTCTTGTCTTTTCTTTTTAACATGGACCGTCCAGCGAAGTCTTGCATCTAATGTAATACCTAGATATTTTGCCGAGTTAGCAAAAGGAACTTGAGCATTATTTATGTTAATTGGTATTATTTGACCATATTTGTTAGTAAAGTTAATATTAACAGATTGGGTTTGTTTAGTTTTATACGCCATCTTTTGGTCCAATTATTTCTATTGATTAACTGATGTTTGTAGTTTATTTGCAGTCTCTTTATGATCTTTGCCTATCGCTAGGATGGCAGTTGGGGTATGTCACAAGTGTGTAACAGATACAAAGTGGGTCCCAGGACGCTTCCCTGTGGTACTCCTGCTTTAATTTCTTTCAATTCATA